TTGTGTTAAAAGTGTTACTTTTGCAAGTATACTTTAGGTACACTTTAAACATCTTGCAATTAAATATAATTCAAAGATCATACAATCCTCATCAATAGTGACATTAAAACACATTTTAGGCTTAATAGTGAGAAATGTGCATTGTGCACAAGTAGTACTCCAAATAAAGTTTAATTATAATTTTTTTATTTATATGAGTATGGAGTGATATGTCAGTAAAAAGACAATAAATAAATCAAATAAAATGTTAATAGATTTGAACTAGTATGAAATCAATGTATTTTCAATACAGTATATTACTATTTTACTAGGGTTTGTAATAAAAAATATGATATCAAATACCATTAAATGAATGATACTGAAGTAATGAATTGCATAACTAATTATTATTAACAATAATAATCCCTTCTCTACATTCTCTCTCTTGTGGATAAGCAGTAACTGAGTGCCTATATGATACACCATGTAACTTACATAGAATGTAAGTTATTGGTTACTACCTGCTAGCTAGCTACACCTCACTGACATTGAATGCTGGATATTTTAAAGGGGCCATACATTGCGGCCGGCTGTTCTGACTCACAGACTGTAAGTAACTTTTTTATATTTAAAGAATTTGACACTGACGATTCAAACGCGATTTTTTTGGGCAGTCTAGAGTAGCACTTGTTGTTTGTCATTTATCCGATCACAAATGTAGACATGGTTTTATGTTACGCTCCGGCCAGACAGGGCATCACACTATGGTAAGGGGCGTGACATTTCCGTCAAACGCTTGCGGTATTCGGCCAATTACAATGCACTGGATAGCTGGCCAATCAGAGCACACCTCGCTTTTCAGACCGATGAGCTTTTTTTTAGCAGCATCATATGACCCCTTTAATTTTCTCCATCATCATCCAGCACTTTGTCACAAAATAAGCTTGATAATACATCTCCAGTAGTTAAAAACGGCTGTCTTCTCATGGTTGACCTACCAGGTAGGTTTGTTCAGGTGCAATAGTTTAATGGACAATACAGAAACGGTTAATTCAAAAAACGGACTTGGTGCTGTCCTACTGCAAGAGGGCAAACTGATTGCATATGCATCGTGTGCTTTGACTGAAACAGAGCAGCGCTACGCGAAAATCGAAAAGGAAATGGTAGCGATTGTGTTCGGGGTAGAACGTTTCCATCATTATGTGTATGGAAGGGAAATTAATGTGGAGTCAGATCCACCCAAAATGTCACTTATGCCCTTCTGGTTCTCACCTCGATATGATATGACTGTAGCTTTACTTAAATTAAACGGTAAAATGCTAATGAAGTACTCTCAGACCAGTTCTGGAGATGTTGTTCATGTATTTATGTCCTCATTTAGTGAGACAGCACACGCTGCAATCACCGCGAACGTCACGTGCGCTTCAGTATGTGCAGTAAACGAAACCGCGCGTCTGCGCCTTTCATTCACACAGACACACAGAACATGCAGGATTCATATTTAAAGTATTTTTGCGGTCTAATATTTACAGATACTGGTCCATGATTTAAGTGTAATGACCTACTTTTGATTAAGTCATTCAAACTTTGACAAATTCCGTGACATTCCGCGTTATACAGTAAATTCCATTTTTGGATTCTGTCCGAGTTTTCCGCGTCCCTATCCACCTTATTTTTTCCCGTAAGAGCGGGCGCGGCCATTTGTAAATTTAATGTGTCTGGCTTCCGGTGTCGTCGTCATCTTCTTTGGAATTTTTGGCATATTCCGCACCACAGGCACATACCGCCACCAACTGTTTATATACATACATGGATGATAGTCCCGTCTCTATTCATATTTTATTTTATTTTATTGTTACGTTTATTTCGGGTTCACCCAAGCTGTATTGGCTTCCGGTGTCATCTGCTTCCATCTATTTTTAGCTGTAAGAAAAGGCTTGTTTTGCTGCTTGATATTGCAAACTGGTGTGTCTTACCATATTATTTTAATGTATTATCTTAATAATGAACACACTGGTTTTGTAGTGCAAACAGTTTTACTGTTTACTGCACTTTGTTATTCTGCTCTACAAAGGCAAAAGACCTTAACTTGCTAGAGTGTGAAACAGAAAAATTACTTTAAATATTTATATTTGTCCAGCCAAATTAATTATAGGTTGGATACTGGAAATCTGGCAATTAGATGTTTTAGTAATGAAAATTATCTACATAAAAAATCTTGAGCTCAAACTTGATTTTTACCCATATTTTGAAGTTTTGAAGACTGTACTCTGCCTTTGCATTGTCTGCAAAAAGTGAGAAGTCACGCCCAGGCAAAAGGCAGTAACTTCCACATTATCAATATTTGGTTGTTGATCGCCATTTACAAAATAATTACACCAGTATAAAATCTAGTGATCATGGTCTATCTCATAGGCTAAAACATATAGTAATATGACTGCATTAATTGTTTTTCTGACCGTAACAACCAGACAAAAAGTTAAACATGTGAGTGGTTACCATTTTAGCTAAAGCAAAACCATAGCCTAATTGCTTTTACAATGACTTGCAAAAAAATAGCCTAACCTAGAACAACTTGTGGATTGATGTGAACGCCAGCAAGTTGGAATAATGCTCAGAATGCTTGTGGATTAAACATCTCCTATGACATTCATTGCCATGGATTTTATCGAGTTACAAGAAAAGGTAGGATATGCATTTAATTGCGAACTGCAACTACTGATTTTATGTGTGATCATGCTACATGATACGCTGTCACGGCATTCAAGTCTACACGCATGCAACTGGATTATTTACGATTACTTATCGCTAGGGCTGGGCGATATATAAAAAAAATGATATCTCGATATTGTCAATTTTTACGATATTCGATATATATCTTGATATGTTTGCATTTGCTTTTAAATAATAAAAAAACATGATTTTATTTTGCCCCCATTAAAAACACAGCAAAAACAATTTAGATAGAACAGCTATTGTTACAAAGTAAATACAAAATGTTTAGTGCAAATTTAAGCAGTTAAAAAAAATCTAGACCAAGTGATCACTTACTGCTTTTTATTAAATGAACACATGTATATGTAACTGAAGTAGTGCAAAACAAGTACAGAAAGTGCATTCTGTCAACTTTTTAGTGCATGCAATTCACAATTTACACTGTGCAACTGGGGGAAATAATTAAAGTGGGATACGTATTTTTTAAGTTTTTAGCTAAGAACACAAATCTGTCAATTGTCTCTGGTTTAAGAGAAGCTCTGTGGCACTAAAAACCCTCTCAGATGGGGAGCTAGTTGTTGGAACACATAGGTATTCAAGTATAATATATACTATATATAATATATATACCAAAGACTTATGCACTCTCTCTGTCTATATTATGAAAACTGGTAAAACAAATGGGCAACTGCAATCATGAAAGCTTGCGTAGTAGAGGCGTGTACAGCAGTCCGCAATAACATGTTGTCTCCTTTTTTGGACGTTCGGCGCGTTCTTTTGGGAAATTATGCTTGAATTTGAAATATTCGATATTCACAATATTTTAAAATTTTACATCGCCATCAAAATTATTGCGATATTATCACTAATATTCGATATATCGCCCAGCCCTACTTATCGCTGCCAATCTAGTCTTTGCTTGTTTACAGTGCTTTGTTATATGGAGCTGTTAGTGATCTATCTAATTCATTTGTCTAATGAAGTGCTTCAGTGAGAGATGTATGAAAGTACCCAGGTTACACTGTAATTTAAAGGCAGCAGACTTTAATGGACAGTAAAACAAAGGCAGAATACAGTAACTCCAGGCTGGTGTACAGTAACTTCATATTGACACATGGCTAAACAAAAGCAGAGTCCTGTTACTCAATTTGAGTGTTCCAAAACAAAGTCAAAGAGCTGTAACTGGTGTTGTACAGTTTGGTGTTCTGCCTTGGTTTCTCCTGGGCTTTTGGAAGTTACTGTTAAGACTAGTGGTGCTCCGATCATGATTTTTGAGGCCGATCACCGATCGCCGATCACAGAAAGCAGTATCTGCCGATACCGATCACCGATACTGATCTTTTTAAAGCCTTCTTCTTATAATTTATAACTATTTATACTGATACTTCAACATTTATTCAGGGCCTGAATTTCATTTTTGAAAATGGGGGAAATTGCATGTCGTGCCAAACCTCTCAAGGCAGCCTCATCAGCTTGAGATAGTTTTTTTGAGATCGGCCTTTTAGAGACCGCCGATCAAACATCCCAACATGATTATCGGCCGATAATGATCGGTAGCCGATCAATCGGAGCACCCCTAGTTAAGACAACCCATTATTTTCTCAAAAAAAACCAACAACAACAAAATTGTCTGAAGATACTTATCCATATGATAAAGGAGGTCTTGAATGTCCCAAAAATACCAATAACTAATTTTTGACCAAAAATGAAGTTACGGTCTTTTGCCTTTGCACGGCAGTATTCTTCTCGTTATTTCCCTACAGCGGCTAATGAACCAGAAGACTCACACATTCACAGAAAACGGCTTACTTCCGCATTGAAAAATAAGGTGGATAGATGTGACAATGTGTTATGAACTTGTACACTCAATGCCAAGAAGGGTAGAACAGAATACTTAAAGTTATGAAGGACATACCAAGTACTAGAGCATTTAGCCTACACATTTTTTTATTTAATCAAGGGTGTTTTTTGCAACCCTTTATTTAAACAAAATAATTTACTATATGTTTAATATACTTAAATTGTGTCATATTTCTATTATTTGTATTAGTAATCATTAAGGAAAAATAAAAAAAATAAAGAAAAAATATAGAAAAAAATTGCATTTCTTCAGAAGGTATGTTCTCAGGGCTTCATACACACACAATTTTACCTAACTATAAAAAATGTTGAAGTAAACACTCCAGAGATCTGCATGAATCATTTAGGTGACAATTTGTGTAAAAAAAATAATAATAATTTTACCAAAAAGTGAGCATTCAAAAAGTCTACATTCCTAAAAACATTCCTGATTTTAAAATACTTACCAACCACACTGTTGTAGTCAACAAGGTCAAACCACACCACACCCACAGACAACCAAGCCCCCAGCAAAGCCAGCACCAACAGCCAGCTAAAGAAAGAGTTTCCCTCTGTCTTTTGTTCACTCTTAATGGCTGTATTTCCACCTGGAGAGTCTGAGAAGACACATACACAGAATGAGATACTCAAAACTACTGTATCTGTCAGAAGCTATCATTCTAAGTTGAATACAAACTAAATGTACACTGAAAATCTGAATGCAGAATTAGAATTAGAAAAAGATTAGGTTTTCAAAAATGCTAGTAATCAAAATCAAAAAGCAATTATTTTATGTAAAATAACTAAATTAAAAAATTAAAATCTGTAAAGTGTTAGTTCACCCAAAAATGAAAATTCTATTATCATATACTAACCCTCATGTCATTACAAATCCATAAGACCTTCATTAATCTTCAGAACATTAATAATTTCCCCCATCCCAATTTTTTAACATTTGGGACTATGGTTTGATAAATATCTTCTCAATAACAAAATAAACACAACAATAATGAGTGGTAAAAAAACAGCAGTTAAGAAAGCATCTGATCATATCAATATGGATACGTTTGCTCAAGCTCTGAAATTTGACACTCCAGTCAAGACATGTCACATTTATTTATATAGCACTTCATACAATTGTTCAGTATTAAACAAGAATAAACATTTTCATTGTCACTTTCAATTAGAATTACAATTTCTATTATAAAGCAGCTCTCCAGTGGGTTTACGTTTTTACTAGCGGACATGTGACCTTGACAAAACCGAACAGAAAGTGGCTCTGGCTGTGAAAATAGATATACATTTTGGCGGGTACTGACTGGTTGGCAAAAAAAGACACTATGGAAAAAATGATATACATTATTAATTACCATGCATGTTCATTTTACTCTATGCAATTTGCATTTCCATACAATTCATTGTGATTACACAAGTAGAAACTGTTGAACACACAGTAATTTTATCCCTCATAGGCTCATTTTCATTGCTGCCAAAATGTAAATATTGCACTACCCTGATTTAAGTCTGTTGGATGCAGACAGGAAAGTTCAGCTAAGCTCAAGCGGTCAGTTTCAAAACTCAAAATGCAGGTATGCTGTGCTATATCCAGCTGAACGCTATGTCATATTCATGTGTAAAATTAGCGTTCGCTGGTCTTTATTGGAGAAAACATGATTCTCAGTATACAAAGACCACTAGATTGATTGCACTGTTGGTTACAGTGTTTACTTGCTTTTTAATCATTTCATTTTTGAAAAATGCCAAAATAGGATTACAGAATTGGTATCAAAATTAAAACTATTAACTTGTACTTTAAAATTATTTTACAGATCTTTTTAATCAAGTTCAAATTATTTATCAAATTGGCTTTTCTAATTATTTTAATAAAATATTATGGTTGTGTTATTTATTAAAAAACAAAAATAAATATAAAAACAAAAATAAAATTAAACTGACTGTAAAAATAAAAGAGTGCCATTAAAAAAACTATATCGGTCCACATTTAGTTCTACAGGTTTGGAACAACATGAGGGTGAGTAAATGACATGTTTTTAATTTTTGAGTGAACTAACCCTTTAATATCAACTTGTTACCCCTACTGGCACTATAGAGCCTTCAGTTTTAAAAATTGGTAGTACTAGATCTTCTGGCATTGTGCCCTTCTTATTCAATGAAAGTACCTGTAACGTCCTGAAATGAGGTCAAATGTTGAATGTAAAAAGCCACAGGGAATGGTTCACTCACAGAGGCGAATAACAAAGGGTTAAAAAATAACACGATCATATAACAGATTGTATTACACTTGACTTGGAAGGTCGTCTGTATGTTACATGCACATACAGACATGTGATCATACTCTAACGGCTCTACTTTTTAGCCCAAACTATGAATGGGGAGTGGCTACATCACCTCACAAGGTTGAGAGGGCCAGTGTAAACCAATTATCAAACTATCAAACATACATTTGTGAAATTAATTCAAATGTAAAAATAATTACAAAAAGTTGTTACAAGCAAAACTATAGTGGCATGTTATGAATGAATGAACTACAAATGGCATGACAGTATAAACAATTTAACAAGCTCACACTTTATGAAAAATACAATACACAAACACACAAAGAGATGAACTTTAGACTTCATGTTCAAACCAGCACTGAGTTCAACAACCCCACGTGAAACATTACACTATATCTGACATGTAGATTTTGCTCACACCACACCAGTAAAAGCACCAGCAAAAACAGCCCACATCTAAACATGTCAGACAATACCTGTCATTGTTGCTCCATGTACACTGGTTTCACCCATCCTTGGGGGTTTCTAGATTTTGCAAACTAAACTGCAAAAGAAAAGCACAGCTTTTACTGCTCACATGAAGTACATCTCACTGGTTTAGCTGCAACATGATATATGCACTGCCTCCTAGGTATTTTTAGAGCTGCTGTACACACACCCTCTTTTGGACCTCATATGGAGACAACAGTTATAGCTAAACACACACATACAAACACAATTGGCCAGTGAGACCACCTCCCTGCGTTTTATTTAAGACAAAAGACCAGACCACACTGCAACTTTTATGAGATTTTTTATTTTTAGGGCTGGGAAAATAAATCGATGCATCGCGAATTGAGAAATGATTCAGCATCGATTCTGAGATTTTCCGAATGCATCGCGATTCTTTCTTGAATCGATTCTGAGCTTAGTTTTGAACAGCAGATGGCACTGCATGCTTTAGAAGCAGCCGTACTCTGCTTGTTTCCAAATCCTTACACACACTTGAACCTAAAATAATCATTCATAAAATTCGAAAAGGTTGAAACTCCTAAAAACACCTTTGCTCATGTGCAAACAAGTGCTCGCACAACTGTGGTGCGGATGATTTAATTTTCCACTCAAATCGAGTCTGGGGTGTGCGATACAGCATCGTCTGCGATAATATGGTAAGTGTTGTTG